CATCACGTCTAACAGCTCCCTGGGTCAGTGACTGTCTGTTGTCTTGTTCCATTGTTTCTATAATGCCTAGCACAATGAGCTCCTGATCTTTTAATAATAATAATAAATAATAATTAATAATAATAAGCAATGCAGAATAATAGTATGGCCAGATGTTATAACAGCAAGGAAAAAGATGTAGCAAATTTCCTCAAAAGTTTTTTGCCTTTTGCATGTTTCCAATTTCTTCCAAAGCTCTGACTCTTTATTAACAAATTTTTACCAAAACAAAAAAAAAAAATCAGTTGTGAAAGTGAATATACCTCAATTTAAAGCCCAAATAAAATAATGTTTGAGGATAACAAAAACTGTATTGTGACTCAAACTTATTCTGTCTGCTGCAGTTATCTCAAGCAACCTCCATGGTGGTGCATATATTTATAACAGACATCAGTGAGTCATATGTAAACATTTTGATTATAAAGTTTTTCTTCATTTTCCCACAGACTTGCTGCTTTCAAACAGCTGTATCCCATTCCTGGGCTCAGCGGAGGGGTTTGATTTTCGGACCCTGCTGCTAGATGAGGAGAGGGGTCGGCTGCTGATTGGTGCTAAAGATCACATCTTTCTGCTCAGCCTGGTTGATTTAAACAAAAATGTAAAAAAGGTCAGTTTGTTTTCTACACAGTTCATCTGATAAGTGTGTTTTTAGCCCCTTCACTGCCTTCTGTTTTTGTTTTTTTCTGATTTCACTGTCTAAATGCATTGTAACAAGATTTAATTCCTCCTCCCATTGTCACATAGCTTGCTTTTAATCATGTGCGGTTGTCAGTGTGTGTGACACCTTATAGCAATAAGTGAATATAATAAGTCAGATGCCTATAGAGGCTGTGCATTTCATGAAAAGAAAATATAAACAAATGGGCAAGGGTGCCTCTCAAAGTATTTGTTTCTTCTTTCCTCTGGACCTAATGGAGACATTTTCAAGGAAACAAACAAAAAAAAAACAACAACAAAAACCCAAAAAGAAAGAAAACAAAACAGTGAGGTCATTTTTCTCCTTGCTAGATGATTTCATTGTGGTTATGGATCCAATTGAGTATAGAATATAACACAATAGAATGTTTGTCTGCTGTTTTCTAAATGGCATTCCAAATTTTGAAGGTAATTTAAATATTCTTAAATTATGAGTGATACGAGTTTCACAGAACCTCTGTAGGGTGCCAGTATATGTAACTCATGCTTCTACCTTGGAGTAAAATTATTTTTGTTACCATAGACCATATCTAAGAGAAGGATGGCAGAATATTTCCAGTGGGGATGACTATCTGATGGTTTTTTACACACACTTCTTGGTGTCTAGAATATAAAAAACAGTTGCTAGCATAAAAACTCTAGCTAAAACTGCTTTTCGATAGTCTCATATATGTTTCTGATTGAAGAAAATTACATCCTGTGCTGTGTGTTATGTTTTCTTTAAAAATAACAGGAGGTTTAAAAAGGTAGATTCTGCAATGGGCTGTATCAGTGTAACTCAGTCTGGAGTAACTTGATGGAAGCCAGTGGAGTTAACAGGTGTAAAAGAAGGGTATTTGGACCCGTCACTTTGAATGGAGCACTTGAGATCGTTGTAGAAAAGAATTTCGGATACCAATATTCACAAACTGAATAGCTAATTGTTATTCTTGTATCCTTATTTTCTTGTGTTTCTGAATAAGCATTTTTAATCTTGAACCTCAGTAGTATAATCAGACTTGTGGGAATGTGAAAATAACACCCATCTCTTAGGGATATTTTGGGATACCAGAATTATTCCTATGCATGTTTTCTTATCCCAGGTTGAGTTCCTGTCATTGGCAGTTGGACAGGGGAAGAGAGGGAAAATCATATGTAAAAACAGAAATCTGCCTCTCTTACAAGTCCTTTCTCTAGCTAAATTCCTGTTTATTTCAGTGGAAGTTCTACTGTATCACAGAGCAGTCAGGCTGTTACTGAGACAATTAATTACCACGGTACTTTCCTGAGTGTAAACTTAATTTACAGTAGAACTGAAGTGTACTTGTGATAAGGGAAAGTCATTAAAAGAATTCCAGACTGATACTGGGATAATTTGAAATATGTAACTAAATAGAATTTGCAGGTTTTAAAAGGTCCTGACTGTACAGGATTTTATCTGTGCAGAAGATCAAACACCTTTGATTCACAATTTTGCTGTGGAGTTTCCTTTAACTGTCTTGAGTTTTACCACAAGACAGCCACACAAGGTATATTTCAGCTGCAAAGTAAGTGATCAGAGGTGTTGAGAATCTATTTATCCCATTATTTGCAATGAGAAAGCAGCCTAAGTGTGGATTTCTATGCACAGTTTTAAGCACTCAGTTTTGACAACATTGGTATCTATTAGAGATATTAGTGAATAGTCAGCTACCTGATAAGCATAAGCTTCTCAGATAGGTGACTGGAGTATCAACTACTCGCTCCCCCTCCCTTCCTTCTACACTACAAGGTTTTTGCACAAAAATGGCCATTTTTGTGCAACAGTCCGTGGGGTGTCCACACCTCAAGTGTGTTTTTGTGCAAGAAAATCTACATTCAATCGACAGAACAGAGGGCTTTTTGTGGTGTAGGTATACCTCCTTCTATGAGGCATAACTCCTTTTTGTGCTACAGCTCTTGTGCAAAAAGGCATGTGTGAATGCTCCGCATGGGGTTTCTTGCACAAAAAGAGCCTGTCCGAAAAAGCATAGGTGCTCTGATGGCCATTTTGTGAATGGTCATCAGAGCTTTCTTGCACAACAGTGCCCATGCAATGTGGATGCGCTTTTGCAAGAATTTTTTGCGCAAGAACTAAGACTTCTTGCGTAAAAACCCTGCAGTGTTAATGTAGCTGAAGAGAAGCAGCAAGGTGGGGGGAACAAGAGCCGGTGCTGGGGGAAGCTGGCTTAAAAGCGGTTACTTCCCTGCACCGTCTTTGTGGTGCTGCTTGATAGGGGAGGCTGCTGAGAAGCAGTCTCTGTTCATGGCGGGCCAACGCTCGCTGTGGACAGAGACTGCGCCGGGAGCAGCTCCTGTCTACAGGGGTCCCAGTGGGGAGCTGGGAACCCCTGCAGACAAAGGCTGCTGCCACCAAGCAGCCTCTGTTCATAGCAGCCCAGGCTGGCGGTGCGCTGGGGCTGCTCTGGCACCAGCCCCTGTTTGTGGTGGACAGGGCTGGTTGCCATGAACAGGGGCTGCTGGACTCAGTGTAAACCGGGACTGAGTAGTCCCGGCTCATGCTGGTCCGGGACACTGCATCTCTGCATTTTAAATGTAGTACGAGCCCAGTGACTTTTACTACATTTAAAATGCAGAGCTGCAGTACAGGTGGCTCCTGTAGCCAGCAGGAGCCAGAACTACTCAGTCCCAGCACGAACCGGCTTCTGGAGTTACCCCCACTGAAGCCCTGCAGAGCGGTCCTATCGACTAATCCTGTAGTCGATACTATTAGTTAGATAACTACCCTTTTACATCCTTCGTATCTGTATATCAGTGACTGTCTTACCTGTTTTGTGCCGGTAGCCATGAGCATAATATATTTCCATAGTGTTAGGGGGATAGAGAGCTTTCATGTACGTCATAACCTATTAAAATACGTCCATGCCAAAGGGTGCTCTCCGGTAGCAAATAAGTGTCAGAATGTAGTGTTTGTCTGTGCTGTGTTTAGACTGACCGTGGTTTTGATTGGCTCTGTGCCACTCGGCTCAGCTCCAGCCTTACCCTGTGTGAGGAAACCGCACAAGTTAGGAATACAAGGGTCTGAAGTGTGTGCTTTGTACTCTTCGGACTAAGTTTTCTGAAAAATGGTATTGTGCTCTAGGTGTCCATTAGGGATCGAAGCAGCACATTAGGCTATTACATTTCTTCCTGCAAATGGCACAATTACAAATTACTCTACGGAAAGATGATGCAAGAACACTGTGCATAGAGGTTTGAGATGGGCACAAGAGGTTTGCAATCAGAATGAAAGTTTGTGTAACTAATGTATAGGTATTCATACTTCAAGCAAAAAAGAGCATGAACAATGTTTGAATTTTAAAAACCGTGAGACTAGAAATATACTCTTAGAATGCCACTTGTATATATTTACTTATGAAAATTACATTGTAGAAACTGGTCAGATAAGTTATAGTATTTCTGGAATAGTATTTTAGGAAGCCTCTCTCCCTTTAAAAAAAAAAAAAACTTTTTTACAACTTTCTGTAACAGCCTAGTTAGTTACATATGTTGGAAAATGACAGAGCAGCTAATCACTATGAAATTCTTGAACATGAATTCAAGGCATTATTTGAATACTTTAAATGTAAATATATAGCTTCTGTATTCTGTCATATTACAGTTTCTTCACCAATTAATATAGTTTTTTCCCTTTTCTTTCAGTCCACAGTTTCTTTAATTGTTGTTGCTTTTTAATCAGCTCATTCTAGGCAATTGTGTAAAATTCCCATCTATTATTGTGTCATGTAGTATAATTGTAGTATGGTAGAAAACCCACCCTCTTTTCAGCACAGTACATGCAGTTATGAGCACCCTCTAGAATTTAAAAGGTATGAATACCATTACAATTATATATCAATTAAGTAGGATTTTGTTAATATTACTGTAGAAATCTATAGCACTTAACAGAGTAAAATCATTCTAAAGCAGAGAGATAATTTTCTATGACAGCACATAGGATTTACACAACCCCCTAAAGAACTTTCTGTTAAACGCTGTAGTGCTTTTTCTTAAGAGAGCTTATAATGTTTTCATCCTGAGAGCTTAAGACACTTGGCAAATATTGCAAGCTGCTTATAGAGAAGAGACTCTGTGACTCTTTTCAAAGAAATAACAATTGGAAAATCAGCATGTAAGTAGACAGAGAGATCATGAGTGGATGTTTGTTACAGCCTGTCACTCTTAGATTGTATACTTGAAAATAGTCAGTTGTAACCAATAGAAGGTATACTTTAAAAGGAGGGAATTAGAAAGAATTTTCAAGAGGGCTTGCTCCCAACAAATATGAAGAGGTGAAAAGGAGTTTTGATAGGTATGCCACTGGCTGATTCTGCTGAAATGACAACTTGAATACTAATAGGGTTCATTTCATTTTCTGTATTTTGAGGCTTAGAGCCTTGGCATATCATTTTATACATTTACTTTATTAATTTATTTATAACTTCAATCAATTGCACAAATCTTGTTGAAAAGGCAGCATAGGAATTCCCACATTCTTCTGTGTCTCGTGTACTTACAGCCCTCAGCAGTGTAAGCAGGGTTACATCATGTTAGCGTGATTATCACTGTGAGATCTACAGTGAGACCCACCCATTTCGGTGGCAATGACAATGCTATCAAGGGCTGACAAACTCTTGAAAAGCTGCCAACCTGCAGGATGTGTCAGTGCTAGAAAACACATCCACATATGGACCAAACAGATAAATATGTCACATCTCCAGTAGCTTCTTTGGAGTGAGTTAATTTGACCTGCACGGCGTGCACTGACATGAGGTCACAAACTGTTGTTGTTTAAGGCATCCTTTGCTTTCAGCTTGTTTTGTGGCAAAACCCATGTGAATTTTTGAAGTGTAGCATGTGGATTAACAGTCTTGTGATTTCTCTCTCTTTCACTTTCGGGTACCACATCCTCATACAGTAAAACAAACACTTGATAAGGTCCCATTTTGCCACCTGTTCTCGGGAAAAACTTCTATGTAAATCATTGAGAATTTTCTGGACTGAATTAGTGGGAATTTTAGCATAGCAATAATATGGGATTGGGTGTGTGTTAGGGCACTGATGCTCAGGATTCATGCATACATGCAAGTGAGGCCCTTAGCCTCATTAGACTGGGGAATGCAGTTGCAGGTCATGTGTACTACAGGGAATTGAATATGGGGCTTCCTAGTACTTACGCAGAGGAATAGACAGTGGAGACTCAATGTGCAGGAAAGGGATCTCTGTACCAGTTAGGAGGGAAGACCTGAAAAGGAGCCACCTGCAAAGAGCCTGGCTGGGAGGCTTGGGAGGTGGTAGAGGAAGGCCTGGAATAGCTGTAATGTTAAAACAAGTTCCTCGGGGCAGTGTGGCTGTTCTCACTCATGTTTCATTTTGGTCTGAATATCTGTTTGTAAAGAAAGCCCTGAGAAGAGAACTGGAGTCAAGCCATTGTTTGGAGCCTGCTTGCATCTTTCTCAGCTGCTGGATCGGCCCATCAATTTACATGGCTCTGTATGCAGCCGGTTAGTCACCTGCTTGCTGGGGTTCAACAAGATGACTGTTCTCATGGAACTCACTTCCCTATGTGTTGGAACCCTTTCCTTACTTCCAAAGAACATAGAAATGTATAGTCCAATGAACTGGGTAAAGAATCGCTTCACTTTTCATTCGAAATTAGCCACATCTGTGGTGAAATCCCAGCAGCCTTTAAACATCACATAACAGACCAGGACAACATGTAAATATCTTATCTGACTGGAATGACACAGGAATTTTAGTTAGATGAGAATGTATCTTTCTTTTCCTTTTGTAATACTGCCATAAATTACAGTGCAAACAGCAGCCACCACACTATTCATGTGTCCCTCTTTGACTTTTGGCACAATGAATAGTCGGTATGCTTCCATCTGAAAGATCCTGATCATCTTGGGCTTTGCTCAAGTTATATGAGGGTGGGATTTGTATTAAAAACAAGAGGTGAGAACCATGTGAAAAGAGATAGAACCTTTCCTAGCCATCATGGTGAGAATAGTTTTTTCCCTCATGACAAATGAACTGTGGGATAATTTCTTCTCTCATTTAAGAGTGGGAGAAAAGCAGAGTAACTCCACAGAAGTTAAGTAAGTCTGTCCAGTTTTGAACTGTTATCACTGAAATCAGTATGTTGTGCTGCTTGTTGTTCTAATTTTCATATGTGCCTTCAGTGGATTTTTATTCATTTTACAAAAACAGAAATGCTAGGAAAATATTTTCTTTTAATATAATAGTTTAAATGCATCAAATTCTAAGGTAAAAATAGTTATGTACTGAGACTGCACTATGATTAGATAGGGGGAAAAATGGGGGTCCTGGTGGATAATCAACTGAACATGAGCTCTGAGTGTGATACTGTGGCCAGAAGTATTAAGGACCTTAGATGCCTACACAGGAGAATCTTGAGAAGGAGATTATTGGAGAGATTATTTTATCTCTGTTTTTGGCACCGGTGTGACAACTGCTAGAATATTGTGTCCAATTCAAAAAGGATGTTGATACATTGGAGAGAATTCAGAGAAGAGTCATGGAAATGATTAAAAGATTAGAAAATCTGCCTTACAGTGATGGATTTAAGACAAATTCAGACTGAAGCTGTCAAGTAACTAGGATGTAAACCAAGTGACTCTTTTGTATTCAGGATTGACTGTTTCCTCTATTAGCATTGCAAGGACCATTAATGTCCCAACCTGATCTATTTTGAACAACAAACGCTACTATGCCTTAGGCGTCAGTCCTGCAAAAAGACTCTGACCAGGATTTAGGGTCTGAATATCTTACCTTGTGTATGTCATAATCCATTGGAACCTATAGCATCTTCCCCCTGCAATCTGCCCAACAGCTCACTCTGATGACCCTGTATCTTTCCCAGTGTTTTCTTTCAACTTTTCTGGTACTATACATCCTGGAACCAGCTGTGTTGGCATGCCTGAAATTTAAAACCCTCGTACTTAGGTGCTTTCATGTCGTCATCGTGAACTATATTCTGGAAAAGCTCATTAGAGCATCAGTTTCTCAGATGACTTTATAAGGCATAATATTTAAAGCAAATATTGTTGCAAGGGGTTAATGATTATGTAACTTGACTTTCCTTTACTAATAGTTTCTTATCACAAAGCTAGTTAAAAATGAATTACAGTATTTTTACAATAAGGGGAATAAATATGGTCTGATTGCACATCCCTTCTTCATGGGGGAGTGAAATTAATTTCCTTGCGGAAGGACAGCATATCCCATTTCTGGCTAAAAGGAGAACAAGAAGGGCTGGAATGCAAAAAGGAGATTATTTCAGTCTCGGCTTGCTTTTGCAGACTTGAGTGGTTGGGATGATTCAGAGAAGCATTGCACATAAACATCTGCAGCAAGATCTTGGCTCATGTTAAGACACAGCTTTGGCACCTTCAAGCTGCCCCAGTGGCATGGAATTGAGCTGGTGTAGGGGACATTGCCTTGGCCTATGCATTGCCATTGCCTTGCAGAAGAACATCCTCTTCTGAAATAATGGTCCCCAGGGGGCTATTATAAGATAACATGATTAGAGAAGCCCTGAGGAGTAAAAGTGGTGCCAGATAGCTACTTGGGTCTCCAAGCTTTTTGATTTTGTTCTAAAACAGCTTATCTACACCCCAGTGTCCAGAATCCTACAATTTCAGGTGTTTATTTGAACTGAACTCTAATTCTGGAACTTCTGATACCCCATTATTGGGTATAAGTCATATTGCCATGTCTTCTGCCTGAAATCATACAGAGGAATGTCTTTTGATTCCGTTACCATGAATTCAATCCCTTAAATTTCCTTTCTCCTTTTTTTTTTTTTTTTGGTGCGGGCACATCTGTATTGGAAAACAAGCCTTACATAATGTCTGTTCTTTAATATTATAACAAATATAGACTTTTAGCAACTGTAATGTTAAGATTTGATAAAAATGCAATCCACGATGAACATTATGATATCAGAACATTGGCAACTGATAAATCACTTTGGGACTCATAAGGCATTAGATAGCTCCAGACTTGCATTTGATTAAGACCTTGCCATATTAAATTCTTTCTGCCCCCTTAGCTGTCAATCAGAAAAAAATCCTAACTTTCAGGATGTCTTAAAATAATAAAAAACAGGAATAAAGATCCCTGATTACCTCAGGGTGAAGAAATCATGTTGGTTTTGGAAGTCTACTTTTTTCCTTTTCTTCCCTCTTTTTTTACTTATTGAAAGTGTGTATTTCCTACACTGATGGATTCATACATGTATTTGACAGTGCTCTGTTTTGATTGCTTCATTGAAATAAATGGGCCAGCTCCCCAGGAGGTATACATCAAAGTAACCCTAATGTCATAAATGGAGTTCTGCCAATTAATACTCTGGACAAATATTTTCAAAATACTAATTTCCATATGTCAGGATTCTAAGTGTATATGAAAGAGAAGAGACCATTTAAATATGGCATGTAATTCTGCTCTATGCATGTATGTAATTTTCTAAATCTATATG